TGTACAAGCCGAATCTGCTAGGAACGATGTCGAAAAAAAATGTACCCGCCCTAATGTATATACATATACATATATGTATATTTTTTTAATATAACTTTCTATTAATTATTAGATTTCATTATCTTAAAAAAATTTATATTTTTCAATGTAAAACAATTTTTAGGAACTTAGTTTACTTTACTTTTTTATTTTTTTGTATGAATTTATTGTATTAAAAGAAGAATGTATTTTTTTAAGTTGATTAATTATAAACACTTTTTATTTTTTTCTATCTTTTTATTATTTTTTTTTCTATTTTTTTATTATTTCTTATTTTTTCAATTTATTTTTCTTTTGGGTTTTAGATTTCGTTATTTTAAAAAGAAATATATATTTTTAATTTCTTTTAATTTTTAGGATCTCATTTAATTTAATTTTTTAACTTTTTTTTCTTTTTTAATTTCATTTTCTTTTAATTTTTAGATTTTGTTTTAAAAGAAATTTGACACAACAAAAAAACAAATATTTGGCCTTAATTAAGTGATTATTTTTCAAACAACAAAAATGTTGTGAGAACGTAGGAAATTCGATTAAAATATTTTCCTACGAATCAATGCCCAATTTCCCTGACAGTTCTAACATGCTGCTGCTCCTACACTTTAGTGCGTTCAAAGTTTATCTGCTCAGAAATTAAGAGAGAAAAAATCAATTGAGACCACAAAATAGCTCTGATCCAGTACTACATGAACTTACAGGTAATCCTGTAAATGAGAACGATTTTCAGAGAGTTGTGTACAGAATGAAGTCGCAAGATTTTACCCGAACTTTTTCTTCTGGTAAAAGCATAAAAGGTGTCAATCGATCACTGGTTGACGTTTTTACAAGAAAATTGCTTTTTATTTGTTCCTGTACTTTTTGTTGTTACTCACTTTTTACGCTCATTTCGGAGAGTAATTTTGCTGTTTGACATTTTTACAGGATTTTACACGAAAACTATTGGATTAGAGCCAATGATTGCTGTTCGAAAGTTCTCTCGATCTCCAAGAAAGCACACCGAGCTTTTTTAAAAGCAAACTGAAAAGGGTGTAAGACAGATAGACAAATAAAAGCACGGGTATGTCAGAATAAGGGACACTGCGACCTGAAAGGTCTTTTATACCTTTAAAGCAGTAATGCTTAAAACAAAAAGCTCTCTCTGAGCATCGCTGCTTTAAAGAGAGTTCCTAACCCAGTATGTCCAAGACAGCCTCGCTTCCCTAATTAATCCTAAGGCGTTTTCGTAGTCGAAATCCTTATTACTAAGGGGTTGACTATTATATATATATGACACAAAGAATGTGTTCGGAAGTTGCCTCGTCCTCAAGACGGAGCCAGCATTCTGACTCTTGGATAAAACATTTTTAATTGAATTATAAGCGTTCTAACCGAAGAGCCTAGCCTGTCTATGGCCATTGTATGGGAATCAGAAGTAGTAGTTTTTAAATAATGTTTACAAGTAAATTGATTTAAACTGCCCTGAAAATGAGAGAATTGATGATTTAAATGTTTCAATTAGCCTCCAGCTACTGTAAAAAAATGTATACTTATTTGCCCCTTACATTTCGTAGCTAGCTTCTCCTCTAATTTGTCGTGTTCATCCTGATTTTGTCACATAAATATTTCGCTGTGGTCATTGGTCCTTAACTATGTACATGAATATTAGCTTTTCTGGAGCTAATACTAAAATCCAATCGTGTGAAAATTGAGTATTTTAGCTTCGTAACCTGGGCCTGAATCGCGGTATTCGTAAACGAGAGATTACAAAGTGACAGTTGTTTTATCCACAATGCAAATTGCACTCCCTATCGAATGCTGTTATCTTACAATCAAATTTCGATACAAGTCAGTGTTGGGCGTTAATCAATTAATTTGTCAATCATCTTGTTAATTGATTAAGAAAATAAATGCAATCAAATTAGTTGCAACTAAAATTTTAATTGCGCATTGCAATTAAATTAATTGCAATTAAACTTTTAATTGCACATGGCAATTAATTTAATTGCAATTACTTTTTTGATAACAGTTAAGCTTCTTACAAATAAAATAAAAAATACGGCAAACCAATTAAAAATTTGTTAAATGTTAACTGCAGAATATCACAATTAACAATTAATTGTCCTTACAATTAAAACTTGCCCAACAATGATTCGAGTTACGTTCGATTTCGAATGCCGAGATTTTGAACCTGGTTTAAGATAAATTAAATGTAGCTTAATGTAGTTAATTTTTGGCTCGTCCTACACAGGTATTGCGAATTGATTGCGGTCGCTACTTAACACCAAAGGATGCAGAAAATTTGGTTATCAAATTGGGTCCCCCTCCTGAACTTTGCAAGGTTGAAAAATATGTCTACTTTCTACGTCCAGATGACGCACACATACTCGCCTACGACATAATTGAACAGAAGTGGCAGCGACGCGCGCTAAATAGTCGGAAGTTCCAAGGCATCATCGAGACACCATTTCCAATTAAACCAATTGACATCGCATTCGGTCAGCAACGTGAACTACTTTTCGCCGATGCGGATGGCAAGTTGTATGCAACACCAAATTCACAACTGAAGAAGAAGTTGAATAACGCTCCTCTCAAACTAAATTCAAATAAAATCGCAAAAGAATTCACCGAACAGCAGACGCAACATGAAGAGGTGGTGGAGGTGAACGACAAATCGAATACTATTGAGCTAGAGCTGCTGGGCAGCTTGTTGGGCCCCAGCAAGGGAATGATGGTAGATAGCCGCACGGGAGCACTCTTCTATGCAGTGCCTAAGTTTGGTGCAATTGTGCGTTGCGACTACCATCGCAACTTAACTGCAGAAGACAATGAGATCGTTTACTTCACTTCAAAGAACATTAAACAAATTTTCTTTGGCATAGAGGGAGCAGTTTGGTTGCTGACAGACCGTGTGCTACAGCCGGATGATCATTGTTTTGCGTATTTTTGACCCGCTTGAAGACATTTTCTAAAAATAGCTAATTACACGGTGCGACAGTGAAAGGTGTATCTGTTTTTGTTTTTTTTTTTTATAGCACTATGTTATTGGCGACAGTCCATAATGAATACTTTAAAAATCGAATCTTTTATTTCAGATAATAAGTTTTATGTATTACATAACAGATCGCTCATTTGATTTGGTATTTTTTCTATATATAAATTTATGTAAACATTCATGCTTTACTTTGTTTTTGTGTGCAATTTTTAACTAGAAAAAGGTAAATTTCAGTTTAAAGAAATTATATGGGTTCCAATTTTTTAATGTAAAGCTTGTAATTCAATTTATAATAGACAGCAACATTATGTATTTAAAGATGCGCAAATATTGTCTAGCCGAAAATTGCAAAATTAAGTAATATTGAAATATATAATAATATAAATATAACTAAAAAAAAGTTTTAATTTTTGTGGCAAAAGTTTAAAAGAAGTACTTAAATAGGAAGTGTACCGTACAACTGCAATATACAGGAATTGGTTTGAGGTGGAAGTGACTCTGCGGGGTTAAAACGCATTTCCTGCAGTTGTCGCGATTTTGTGGCAGCAATTTGTTTGCTTTCCTCTTCAATCGCACATACCATTTTTGTATTATGATCCATTCTATGGCTTACACATTTAATTAAAATAAAATCTCTTCTTCATATCTGTGCTGTTTTTCACTAAATTCATTTAATTTCGTACAGTTTGTTTGTTCAAGTATCCCATTAAAGCCTGCAACCGCTTCTTGATATTTTTCTGATCGTCGAGCGTACAACCCAGTAGAGCACTCTCGAATTTCTTATCTATTGGACCAGCATCAATATCGACGCCATATTCATACGATGCTGACGACTCCGCTGCACTGCAGCATGCATTCAGGTATTGTTGGCAACGCTGGCGTGCCATTACTGGATCGCCCATTGTGATCATCAAATCGATGAGTTCGTTGATTTGACTGAGCGCATCTTCTTGAGAGCGATCGCGCACCGTGTGCACCATTAAATCGACGGTGGAAAGACGCGCATTTACGCGCTGTATGTAGCAAAAGATTTCCTCGCGTTCAGCTGAAAATATTGAGATATAATAATTAACAGTTATTGTACTATATGTAAAGTGAATCACTTACCCTCCATCATCGACTGTAGCATATCGTGACTCTTGATCAGATCAATAGACATGAGCAGAAAATCCTTTTTCTCCTGCAGGCCCAATGCATCTTTGCGAAATTTTTCAACGCGGGCATCCAGTTGATCTAACACTGAAACAAATCTAAATACAAG